CGAGGTCCGCTGTTGAGCAACACTCTTCCCATCTCAACCTCCACTTCTCACCACACCCAACTGACACCCACTCTCCTCCCTACTCTAACGCATGCAGGAAGTCGTGTGGCCTAGGTGACAGCCTCACTCCATCCCACCTTCGCACTGCTCGTCTGCCCACACGTCCCCTTATGACTTAGCCTAGGTGAGCCACACACAAAGACTAGGTCTCGTGTCAACATGATCCTCTATTCCGACAATCGATTCATTCGACAAACCGCCTCACACATTGCAGCACATCGCTAGGTCGTTGGACTCCTCGGACAACAGTTTCTTGCATTCTCCTCCAAATCACATCCTGGCACAGCCACTCGAGTATTTCTCTGCTGCCCGTATGATCGACATAACCATTTATTACATGCCAAATTCGCCAATTCATCGGTGCAGTAGTCAGAGGCGCCTCGGTGCCGAAGCCGAGTTTCTTTGCGTACTCCACGAAGAGATCCATGCCGCTTCTCTCCCTCCCCTCCACATCGTCCACAATCGCAATTGCAAGTGTATGTTGAGGCGTCAAGAGGCGCAGTAAGGCTCCCAACTCCCTTCTAGCATTGTCTTGACGTTGCAAAAGCACTGAAAGCCTCTGTGTGTAGAGAATGCAGTCAAATGGACAAAGCTCTGCTCTTTGAAGCTCAGTGATTTCCTCATGCTGATTTTGCATTTCTGCACTACTTAATCGACGATCAGGCAAATTGAATTGAACCCAAATAGGTATGACACACTGTGTCTGACCAAGTGGAAATTTGAAGAAATAAAAGTTAACTAATTCAAAAATGTCACTGCCATATTCATAGGGAAACGGTGCGACACCAAAGTAGGTAAAATCGTCCGATTGGTATGTCAGGTAGGCTACGTACAAAAAGCAGTTGACGTTTATGTATGCGTTAGCAAGGACTCGGATTCGTGGAAACTGGAGGTCAAATTGCATTTGATAGAAGTGTCGCTCAATGGCTTCGTCAAATTTGGTGGGGGATGGAGTGGGCGACTCGGAGAACAGTGCTGTACAGACACGTTTGTCGATCCACCTCCACTTCGAGCTGTACGAATGTGGTGTTTGTAGGAAGAGAAGCCAGCCCCAGTTGGGCAGCGCAGTGCAAACATTGACCAAGTCGACAATGCTAAGGTACTTGGATATGCGTATCTTTAACTCGGGGGGCAGTGCTGTCACCGTCAGTGAGGGTAAAATAACCTGAAACTGCAAATCCGTAGGTGAGACACAATGAGGACTGAAGAAGGGAGGCCTCAAGTGGGTTGTATCAGGCATGGAGGTGGGGAGTTGTAAAGAGTGGTGAGTGAATGGAGTGGGGAAATGGGGAGGGTGGGGCTGGTTGCACTTACCTTGGCGATCCACGTGCAGTGTCAGGATCGCCTATACCTGTCACCGCCTTCTACGTTCTCTCCTCAACTACCTCATCAACAACGCTGAAGTGCCATCAAATCGGACATTGCACTCACTCCACTCTACCGCAACGCTCACTTGTCTTTGGGAGTCGACGTGCCCCTACTCTCTGCTTCTCCCTGCTTGCAATCGCAGTATTGAGGCTGTGCGCATTCCACCTGCCATGCATTACTCCACGCCCTGCGGTTCAAGACAGAATAGTGGTTAATGCGGAACGAGGAGAAAGGGAAGCTGTTCTCAACTTGCATGGCTCAAAATCAGAGAGTGAGGGATGGAGTGGTTCTGCAATGCATTGGGTCTTCTTCATAACAAGCAGACACAACCACTAGGCGCCCTCCCTACCACCCACTTTTCTACTTCTCACACGCATTACTTCCGTCCGTGGCTCTCTCCAGGTAATAAACTCTAGGTTTGTAATGCCAT